AACCCGTCCAGAAGACCTACACTATTTTTTTTCTTTTTGATTTTTTATCTGGATTACTGAGATGCATCAGGACATAAAAGGTCCTTACTCTGTAGCAGAAACAAGAACACACACACACACACAGATCTGACATAGCTGCTGTCTGTCCAACACAAAGCAGAGCTGAGGATCACATGACTGAAGTAGAACCAGAACTCATTCTGCACAAACTCACGATGCTGCTGCTGAACCCCCACCCACCTCTACCACTGTCAGTTCCTGCTTTGTTCACTAGAAAAGCTGCTTTAAACAGTTTTGAATCTGCAAACTCGTTGGAGTTTCCGTTTCAGAAGTTAATCCAAAGCAGATTATCAAATCCTCATCTGTTTGAATTCACTTTAAAGGAAGAAAAAAAATAAAAACCTGTTGAAAATGACTCGTAAACGTGACTAAAATCCACGCGTTTACTGCTGTAAGTGCAAACAAACACGAGTGACTTTTTGCGTTCGTGCGTAAAAAGTTGTGCCGCAGATTCGGTTCCCTCCWCCAGCTCGGCTCGGCTCGGTTCGGTTCTTACCACTTCAGCAAGAAGCAGCATTCCTTTCCTGGAGGAGGCGAACTCTCTGCTCGGCAGGACGGAGCGCAGGACGGACTGACGCGGCCCGTTCGAGTCGGGAGCCTCGATGTCCCCCATTTGGTCCAAGAAGTTTTCCCTCGAACTCCCGGCGGCTCCGAGCGGCAGGAGGCGCGTGAAGGAGCGGGTTGAAGGCAAAGGAGGAGGAGGAGGAGAGGCAGAGWGGAGGCGTGAAGCTTTCAGGAGGTGGAAACGGAAACAATGACAGCGCGGAAASCCAACATCTGCTCTCTCCAGATGTGAAATGTGATGCAGCTGCGTCGAGCGCGAGCCCGGATGTTCAAGAGGAGGGAAACAAAGCAGCTGATGGTGGCGCGAGACAGAATCCATCCTCTGCAGGCTCGTTCGGTGACATGTATGGAAGGGTTTTTTTTTTTTTAAAAAGCATCACTTTAAATCATCAACGTGCAGAAAACAGAACAGAGTCAAACTTTTCAACAACAACAATAATAAAAAAACATCCTGAACATAAAATCCAGCTGCAGAAATTATTAACAGATGCTTTCAGGTTGAGTTTATTACAAAATCTTTTGAAAACAGAACAACATACAGGGGTTGGACAACGAAACTAAACACCTGGTTTTAGACCACAATAATTTATTAGTGTGGTGTAGGGCAGCGGTGTCCAAAAGTCCTCAAGGGCCGGTGTCCTGCATGTTTTAAGAGTTGCCCTTGTTTAACACAGCTGAACATAAGTAGTGCTTAATTAGTAAGCCTCCTCTGTGTGCCGTCAAGATCTTCAGATGACAACTAATGAAGCACTTTTTAGGTTCAGCTGTGTTGAACCAGGGCAGCTCCTAAAACATCCAGGACACCGGACCTTGAGAACTGACTTTGGACACCACTGGTCTATAGGGCCTCCTTTTACAGCCAATACAGTGTCAGTTCATCTGGGGAATGTCATACACAAGTCCTGCACAGTGGTCAGAGGGGTTTGAAGACATTCTTCTTGCAGGATAGTGGTCAGGTCACTGTGATGCTGGTGGAGGAAAACGTTTCCTGACTCGCTCCTCCAAAACACCCCAAAGTGTCTCAGTAATATTTAGATCTGGTGACTGTGCAGGCCATGATGTTCAACTTCACTTTCATGTTCATCAAACCAATCTTTCACCAGTCTTGCTCTGTATTGGTGCATTGTCATCCTGATACACGTTGCCGCCTTCAGGATACAATGTTTGAACCATTGGATGCACATGATCCTCCAGAATGGTTCGGTAGTCCTTGGCAGTGACGTGCCCATCTAGCACAAGTATTGGGTCAAGGGAATGCCATGATACGGCAGCCCAAACCATCACTGATCCACCCCATGCTTCACTCTGGGCATGCAACAGTCTGGGTGGTACATTTCTTTGGGGCTTCTTCACACCGTAACTCTCCTGGATGTGGGGAAAACAGTAAAGGTGGACTCATCAGAGAACATATTTCACATTGTCCACAGCCCAAGATTTGCTCCCCTTACACCATTGAAACCGACGTTTGGCACGAGTGACCAAAGGTTTGCCTATAGCAGTCCAGCCGTGTGTACTGACCCTGTGGAGCTCCTGACGGACAGATCTGGTGGAAACAGGAGAATTCAGSTGCACATTTAATTCTGTCGTGATTTGGACAGTTGTGGTTTTATGTTTTATTGGAAACAATCCAGGTTAACACCCGAACATCCCTTTCAGACAGCTTCCTCTTGCATCCACAGTTAATCCTGTTGGATGTGGTTGGTCCTTCTTGGTGGTATGCTGACATTATACTGTGGCTCTTGATACATCACAAGACTTGCTGTCTTGGTCACAGATGCTCCAGCAAGACATCCTCTTTTGAACTCTTGGTATGTCACCCATAATGTTGTGTGCATTGCAATATTTTGAGCAAAACTGTGCTCTCACCCTGCTAATTGAACCTTCACACTCTGCTCTTACTGGTGCAATGTGCAATTAATGAAGACTGGCCACCAGGCTGGTCCAGTTTAGCCATGAAACCTCCCACACTAAAATGAACAGTGTTTCTGTTTCATTGTCCAACCCCTGTATATAACAATATGAATATAAAATATAAAATATGGCTTCTGCAGAACTTGAAGAGGTCATTCAGAATCAATCAGGTGCAGAGAAACAAGTAAAACATGCAGGATACTGGGTCAGCCCTGCAGGACCAGGACTGGACGCTTCTTTAGCAAAACTTTTGRGAAAAAAGCCTCGACTGAACACTTTGTCTTTATGATGATCCACCTTCCTGCTTGACCACTTTCTTCTTATTTTCTTCATGTTTTGAAGCAGATTCGCTTTTATTCCCACCTAAACAGCTTCTCCCAGATACTCCACTCGTCTGAACGTTTTACAGCAGGAGCATCAAACTCGTTTTCACCAAGGACCACATGGTGTAAATAACATTGTGTTTCCTGTTTAACTTTGACTAAACACGAAACATCATGTTCCTCATTGCTACGGCTGAGCACCGCTAACAAACAATAACTGAGCTCTATTTCCTGCATGGAAACAGTGTTTTAACACATCACAGCAGAATAAATGTGAAATAAATAATACAGAAATACTATAAAAAGTAAAAGTAAGAGAGTTTTACTCACTGGTGAGTTGTGGTGAAAAGTCACCAACTTCAATTCTGAATTCTCCCACTTTCTGACAAGAAATAAGAGGCATTCCTGTTTAAAGTTACGACTTGTAGGTGGGAAATTCCTACTTCCCAGTTCAATTGGGCAGCAGCAACAAAGTAGCTGGCGAAAATGCAGTGAAATGGAGATGGCGAATTTCCGGCCACTTTTGAACTCTCTTCACCTCCATCTAGTGGTCGGATGTTGTCATTTTGCTCGTAAAACAATTGACACCCATCATGGGAGATGTGCTTTTTTGGACAATGTTGGCTTTAAAGTAAAATATGCTTATTTTAAATTTTTTTAAATCATCTTCGAAGCTCTCGTGGACCACATGAGATGCTGTGGCGGGCCACATTTGGCCTGCAGGCCCTAAGTTTGACATGTGTTTTACAGAGTGATGTGGGTCAGTCACGTGACTCAGGCTTCCTTGTAGTTTTCAGCAGATTCAGCTGCTTTGTTTACATTGAGTGCGGACCCTCCATTAAGAGCTGAATTCATCTGGAAACCACTGAAGTAAACTATTTCAGACTGCACACATTTTTTTTATTTTATATTTTGTAACAAGTCCCCTCAAATATATTTATGATTAACATGATTTTTTTTTCTTGGTTTGATGTGATGTTAAAT